TGTTTATTTCACATTGAATGCCTGTATCAAAGCATCTCATGTGCTCTATAAATACCTACACCTACTGTGTACCCAAAAAATGAAAAATAAAAAACAAAAACAAACAAACAACAACAACAACAACAAAAAACTACAACAGAAGCCAGAATCAGTATTCTGTTTGTCATTGTTAGCTTTGCAAACAGAATGGGTATGATGGTGGTGAGATTTTAAACAGAGGAAAGGAAAAGGAATGCACTGCTGAAAACAGACTAAGACGAAGCTTAGGGGAAAAAAGTTACACATTCCACGTAGCAGACAACAAAGCCAACAATTTCCTTTGGCAACAAAAAGGCTGCTGTTAGGTAATAAACGTATCTTCCCTACAGTGTGGCAATGCAGTTTTTAAATCCTAAATTAGAACCCTTTAAAATAAGCCTAGCATGCCCCTCTAGCATATTTTGTCCATGTTCCACTAATGTATTCTTAGAATTCCTAGAGATGAGAATGATGTAACTGCCCTTGAAATCTGCCCTGATCTCCAACATCTGCATTGTGGTAATTACCAAGCTATTGTTCAGATACAAGTTAATCACAGAGGTAAGCCTGGAAGAAAGTAATCCTTGCAAGCAGGATAGAGGATTATAAACAAATTTGTGTTGAATGAATAAACAAATGAAACAATAAATAGATCACAAACTAAGTATCACAAACTCTTGGTTATCAGAGGTTTCTAGGTAGCTTAAAAAATAGTGCATATAAAAAAAATCAACCCATTTACATGTTAAAAAGCATCTATTATTTGGAATCAGGCTTTAGGCAAAAATAGATTCTAAAATGTGGCTACTGTAATGTAGTAATACTTGTTTTCCTCCTCACCCACACTTTGCCAATAGTCTCTCATTAAAGCAAAAGATTTCTTTGTCCCAAGGACCTAGTCCAGTGACATGTACTTGGTAGGTACTTTGTAAACCTTTACAAAACCAAACTAACATGATTAATGAAAATGTGTAAGAGAGAAAGCTATAGGCGGTTCCGTCAAAAACAGAGATCCATATAATGTATATACCCTAGTTAAAAATAGAGCAATCAGTGATATAAAGGTTAGTCCTTTCTGGGCCACTGAAGAGTGAGTGATTCAGTGTATAAATATGGTTCAGGTTTGGGTTTATTTAACAAAAGTTTTAAACACAGGAATCTCCGGTTGAAGTATGGAATCATCAAAGTGATGAATATAATTTAAAGTTAAATTTAAATAAATTCAGGCCTAGGAAGCCAGCCTCCAAACCTATTCTCCGTTTTTAATTTCAAACTTAAGTAAAGTCTTATTTGTATTTTTTTTTAAATAAAGGCAAATTCACAATTACAAGGGACAGTGCTTCTTGTCACATATTCAGCAGATACCAAATCATTACGGTCTATGTATAGTACGAGAGAAGTCTTTAAAGTTAGAAATATTTTTCTTAGGAACTCTATTATAACTTGAGCTATAACTTTCATGAAGACACTCTAAAAACAAAGAGAAACCCTTACCTCTTGCAATTAAATTTCAATAAAAATTTCAATTATATAGAGCGCTGGATTTTTCCTGTAACCCTCATATTAAATTTTGTGCTCAGTATTAAAGGACTTAAAGTCAATTTCTTTACCAGTGCATTATGGGGAACACAAATTAAGATGAAAAAATGAACTGGGAATATGTATGCAAATATTGTGTATTCATATTCTTATACAGCATAATCTGTAAATCTGGTACAATGAGACTCAAGATTTAAATGGCTGAAGAATGTTTTTAGTGAATTATTGTCAATCAATGCCTCTGTTCCAGGATAAATGTAATCTTGAAAGGTAAAACACCTATTATTACAAATTCCTAACTAAGTACAGTACTTCATTATTTCAAAATGTCACTGTCAATTTATAGAGTAACAGATAAACATCTTTCTACCATATATCTGAATGCCTTTCCTTCAGAGTAAATGAAACACTGATTATTAAGAAAAAGTATAAACAACATTTTTATAGCAATAGAAGATACCTAGTGAGCCTTAAAAATCTATAAACTGGCCGGGTGCAGTAGCTCATGCCTGTAATCCTAGCACTTTGGGAGGCTGAGACGGGCGGATCACAAGGTCAGGAGATCGAGACCATCCTGGCAAACACGGTGAAACCCCGTCTCTACTAAAAAATACAAAAAAACTAGCCGGGCGAGGTGGCGGGCGCCTGTAGTCCCAGCTACTCGGGAGGCTGCGGCAGGAGAATGGCATAAACCTGGGAGGCGGAGCTTGCAGTGAGCTGAGATCCGGCCACTGCACTCCAGCCTGGGCGACAGAGCGAGATGCTGTCTCCAAAAAAAAAAAAAAAAATCTATAAACTAGTTACAGTGTTCTAAATTTTCATATTTGTTAATGTGGATATATTGGGTTTCATTTTTAAAAAATATTTAAAAATTTATCTTTTTGGTTTGTTTGTTTTTAAGAGACAGGGTCTCTGTCACCCAGACTGGATTATAGTGGTGTAAGCATAGCTCACTGCAGCCTTCAACTCATGGGCTCAAGTGATTCTCCCACCTGAGCCTCCTGAGTAGCCAGGACTACAGGCATGTACCACCATGCCCAGCTATTGTTTTTACGATTTTTTTGTAGAGATGGGGCCTTGCTATGTTGCTCAGGATGATCTCAAACTCCTGGCCTTAAGCCATCCTCCTGTCTTGGCCTCCCAAACTTCTGGGATTACAGGTGTGAGTCACTGTGCCAGGCTACACTTGCTATAGGGTCCCACAGTGTTGCCTAGGCTGGGATACAATGGCATGAACATGGTTCACTGTAGCCTCAGCTTTCCAAGTAGCTGGGACTACAGGCATGCAACACCACCCCTGGCTAATTTTTGTATTTTTTGTAGAGATGGGGTTTCACCATGTTGCCCAGGCTGGTCTCTTAACTCCTCAGCTCAAGTGATCGACCCACCTTGGCCTCCCAAAGTGTTGGGATTACCAGTGTGAGCCACCCCCCAGCCCTGGCCAGGTTTTATATCATTGTAATCAAATACTGTTTTTTTCTTCCAAGTTACTTTATTTTATGTAAATTCAGATGTTCATTTATTCAATCACTTAACAAACATTTACTGAGTGCTGACTTTGTCCTAGGTACACTGTTAGGGGACAGACTTACAAGCATGAATATGATATGACTCTTGCTCTTAACAAACTCAGTTTAATGTAATACAGGGATAAATGAGTAAAATACAATAGTTCAGGGTTATATTAAAACTGTCTATATGTTTCACATTTGCAATAACTAAAGGATAGTCTATTAAAACTATCCTTAGAAACTTTTCATCATTGTTCAGAAATAAAACTCTCCCTTACTTGTTCTAGGGAAATCTTTTAAAAAGAAATTTAAAACAGATATATTAAAAATGATAATCTTACAAATATCTGTGAACATAACATCTCAGATTAACAAATGCTAATATTTGCTTCATATTTTATTTTAAGGCTGTTTTCTAAATCCAGAAATTTCTTGAATGAACCAAGCAATAATGACTTCTTGAGATAATTACTTATAGCTCCTACCAGCTATATGGCCTTGGGCAAATTTACTTAACTTTGACTCTCAGTGTTCTCATCTGAAAAGTACAGATAGTCATACCAATCTGTGCTAGATTATCTGCCATTTACCCCCTCAGGATCCATGTTCTCTACACAGCTTTTTGCCCATGGAGGTTCTCCTACCTTCCAGCTTCTGATTATGCTAAATTAATAGGAGATACTAGCAAAAGATCAGAGAAGGAAGGTGAAGCTATTCCCTAGTTTCCTCCCTACTGGGCCACCAAGGTTGGCTATATCCCTCTGTCAGAAGCAGTCCTCTCCATATAGCACTCTCTCCTAGGCTTTCAGGCCTAGAGATGATAATGGTTCCCTTTAGCCTTGGGTCTGTATTATCTTCTGTTGATTATTTTTTTGAGACAGATTCTTGCTCTGTTGCCCAGGCTGGACTGCAGTGGCATGATCTTGGCTCACTGCAACCTCCACCTCCCAGGTTCAAGAGATTATCCTGCCTCAGCCTCCCAAGTAGCTGGGATTACAGGCACACACCACCATGCCCAGCTAATTTTTGTATTTTTAGTAGAGACTGGGTTTCACCATGTTGGCCAAGCTAGTCTTGAACTCTTGAACTCAGTGATCAATCTACCTCAGCCTCCCAAAGTGCTGGGATTACAGGTGTGAGACCCCATGCCCAGCTTCTTCTGTTGATTTTTGAAAACCCTGCCCACATCTTTAAAAATGGTCACTTTATTAAACTCTTCTTAAATAACCTAGCTTAAAAGTGTCTATTTACTGCCAGAACACTGACTGATCACAACTTCATGGGTTATTCTGAGGATCATACGAGATGATTAGTGCTTAGCACAGTGCCTAGCACATGATAAATACTAGGTAAGTATTGAACACTATTTTCATCAATAATGCTTTTATTATTGTTTTATTTGAGGTTCTATGTTCATGTTATCTGTAACACCTGACTATGTTTAGGAGGTTGAGAAAACACCTGAATATGTTTAGGAAGTTGATAAATTCAGAATGCTAGAGATCTTTTGCTAATTCTCAAGGTACTTCAAACATATATTCAAATATAAAATGTGTTTATTGCTAATTAATCTCAATATTTAAAAAGAGTAAGAGAACCATAAAAGTGAGTGATAAAATCCATATAGTAGACATCATTTCCTGGACTATAGTTTCTTCTATAAAAATGCTTCTGAACTAATTTCTTGGAAATCGACTTCCCGTAACCACCCCAAATCTAGCAAAGTGTAAATAGTCCATAAACTAAAACAAATCATTGGGTCTTGGGGTCATAAAAAGAATGGACTGAAAGGTAAACTTCATAGCATAAAAACCCTTGGTAAATTTGGAAATGCATCTTCATCATCTTTATTTATCGATCATATCACAGGCATGTACCATCATTTGACAAATTACCTCATCAAAATCCTATTAAAGATCTGCTTAACCTTACCTCGTCCTTTATATCTTCCTGTTGTTGGGCTGTGAAGATCTCCATTGCAGCCATGAGTCTCATCATTAACTCATCTACTGTTGTGTTCCCTAAAAACATATAGAGATTGCCAAACTTTATATAAGCTTTTTACATATAACTTCAAATTATTAAAGTATTAGAAACTGGAAAGTCATTCTAGAATTAACCAGAAAGGAAAACCAGTCTAAAAAAATTACAGTAAAAATACTTTTGTGGTTTTATTGAAATGTTTCATATGTTCAATAAGAAAGAGTAGTATACTGGCAGTTGAAATTTCAGAACAGTTATATTTGAGGGAGCAGTTTCTTAATAAGAAGGACTTTTAGCACTATATAGATGAATGTCCAAATCATGAAGTTCAAAAGTTCTGTCAAATTATGAAAACATATCTAGTTAATAACACTAGCAACAACTACCAGTTGTTTACATATCACTGATTAGGCTAAGCACTTCTATATTATCTCATTTAATCTGTACAACAATTCTACGAAGGATTATGACTTAGTTTTAAAGAGAAGAAAAATGAGTCGCAGAGAGCTCAAAAAAACTTGTCTGACTAAGGTCAAGCTGGTTAAGTGGTGAGGTCAGAATCTGAAACCAGAAGAGGCTGACTCGAAGCCTGGCCTCTTTGCCACCCACCTCAGTCTATTACCTTATTTAGAATTATCTTCTATCACCAAAAATCCTCTGGTGAAACAAATTTTTTTCAATTTCTGAAAAAAATGATTTCTTTTTTTGCCCAATTGATATTTCTCCCTTTCAGCTGCTTTTAAATGACTCTTATGATCTTTATAAAGAAGATATTTTAAATGTTTGATTTTCCTTAATGTCATTTTATTCCCTGACCAAGTTCATAACAAACATATGGCACATACATGCCATTTCCTGAACACATTTAAGTCATTGTTATTTGCTTGGGATGTACCTACAAGAGAAAAAGTCATGAGGATATATAAAGATATGACAATTCTCTTCTCTCAAACCTACAGGCAGAAAGAGTTAGGTTTTCTCCATGGCTTGAGAAGGGATCTTCTTCCCCATTAACGAAATGGCCACCAACAGGACAATAAAGACCAAGCATTCTTGCTGGCATTTTTCCAGAAGGCATGATCTTTCAATGGTGCTTTCCCTAATTATCCTTATGACCATTGGCAGCATGGGTTAAGGGAACATCTATGGTCCTTGGCAAAAGAAATGATCTAATTTGTTCACATCAGTACTACTCACTCAGTAAATGAGCTACAGGACAAACGTTATCTTGGCACTAAGAAAACAGAACTAGTTTTATAGTTAGAGTTCTAACTCTAATTCCATTACTTATAAGCTATATAATCTAGTACCTGGAAATTGTCTGGCACATGACAAAGGCTTTGACGAATATTTATTCAGTAAACAAATAAATGAACAAGTGAATAAATGGACTGTAGCTCTCTAAGGATCAATTTCCTTTTCTCAAAACGGAGATAACACTATGTAATGTTCTTAGAAGGAGTGGAGATAATGTAAAGTATACACAAATCGTTGGTAGTTAATATTAATAGATATGACACATGACAAAAGAAGTTTAGGAGCACCTTCAATATAGATATTTTATTCTTTTGAGACAGGGTCTCCTTTGTTGCCCAGGTCTCAAGTGATCCTCCCACCTCAGCCTCCCAAGTAGCTGGGATTATAGGTATGTGCCACCACACCTAGCCAATGTAGATTTTATTATTGGACAAGTCTCTGGGTTTCTATGTTTTATTTAAAAACTGTAGTGGCTAAGACTCAGAGCATGGGAAATGGGTACTATATGGAGTATACTGGAATCATCAGTGGGAAAATACTACAGTTGTATAGGTTGACTACATACTGGCCATTAATTTTTAGGCTTAAGTCACTACTTATAAGCTATGTTTTAGCCCTAACTGGAAGGATCCACGGCCAAACTGAACTCGTAGGTACTTCATACTGAAGCCCTTATTGATCAAAGACAGAGAAAAAGTGTACTAGTTAATGCAGTTCAGGGCAAACTTACTCTTTATAGTTGATTGCAGCAGTTCTCAAACTTTTTGGTCTCAGGACCCCTTTACACTGTTAAAAATTACTGAGATACCCAAAGAACTTTTGTTTATATGGATTATGGCTATTAACATTTACTGTGTTAGAAATTAAAATAGAAATATTTAAAATAAATTCATAAATCCATTTAAAACTAACAATAATAAACCCATTGCATGTTAATATAAACATTACATTTTTATGAAACATGACTATTTTCCAACAGAAAAAGGTTAGTGAGAAGAGCAGCACTGTAACATTTTTGCAAATCTCTGTAATGTGTGTGCTTAATAGAAAACAACCGTATTCTGTATTCTTGGACATCTACACTAACCAGTTACAATATCTTGTACTGATTGAAATTTACAAAGAGAATCGGGTCACACAAAGATATGTAGTTGGAAAAGGGAGAAGTATTTTCATAGATAAGTGTGGATATTCTTTGATACTACACTTAAACTGACAAGTGTAAGTTTTCTTCAAATTAGATGCACATGGAATTTGAAACCATATCAATGAAATCTGTGTACTCCGTTACATTAAAATCCATTGCCCTTTGAAAGGATCTTTTATCTGTGTATGATTTTATAATATGCACTGATCATTTGTAAAACATTGGTTCACTGAGTTATGTATTTCTCTGCTGAATGCTGACACACTTCATTATAGAATATTAAAAAAAAAAAATCACAAAAAACGTCTGGCAACTACCCAGGCTACATATGCATAGTTTGCCTGTCAGTAATATTTTCAAGTATAAATAATTTCTATAAGAAATAAATCAAGTAGTTCAGTGTAAGCAACCACACCAGTGCTTTTCTTCGAGACCACCAGTATACTTTAGTATGCAGCAGAAGTGCTTTACCCATACCTCCCACGGTGCCACACAAACTATTAAAAGGGTTAAAATTTAATAAAAGTAATAATTTTTACTGCTTCATCAAGGACATTTTTAAGGCTTTTTCTTTTTTTTTTTTAACTAAATACATGGCAATTAAGAATATGACTACTAGTACAGTTTTGTGTTACGGCTTTGATTCGTGCTAAGGTGCCAAGAGTTTTTATAAACCATTCCTTTGGAGCCACTAGTGCAAATGTCAACACAGTAAAAAAGGCAAAAAAAAAAAAAAAAAAGTCTTATTACAGTTAGGAAAATAATTTTGACCTTACAGATACCCTAAAAAGGTCTAGTCTGAAGTCTACAAACCACACCCTGAGAACCACTAGTTCTTGCAATGTTGCCTCTGACAGGGAAAGCAGGAATGAAGTGTTATCTTCATTATCCATTTACCCTATGCAAATCAGTTCCCCTGGAGGTCTTTTTAAATACTATTTATGAAATTGAATGCTCTAGTTATAGAGAAAACATAAAATGCTAGAGGTCTGGTTTTATTTGGGTTTTAAAGGCACTGCAATTTACACTTACCCCTCCTCCCAACCAGACTTAAATGGAGGCAGAAATCAGTACCCCAGATACAGTTTTAGCTTGAGGCACTTGAAAAACCTTTTCCCCAGTGGCATATAGAAGATATACTGTTCAACCTAAGCTTTGTAATGAACAAGGTAATATTTTACACCAACCCCTGGAGTGCATTAGTAACAGTAAACAAAACAAAATCATTCACTTCTTTTTTGGTAAAGAATGTGCACTGTGGTTAAATTCACAGGCATCCGACAGTTTCCTGCTTCAGGGTTGCTTGGAATCATACAAATAAGAAGAAACAATTGTCATTGTGAAAAATTCAATCTTCAATATACAGTGACTGGATTTTCTAGATAACTAAAGATAAGTACTTCTTTCAATTAATCAACATTATAACAATAAATCAATATAAATAGAAATTAAGTACTTTACAACTGATTATGTCCTAATTGCTAGATTATAGAATTTAGCAATTCTGAACATTTAACTTGAACATCCTGTGTCCCAAGGGTTGCGTAATTTTATTAAGATGTTTCTGTTAGATTTTCATGCAGCATATTATTTTTTATAGCACCTATACTTTTTGAGACATTTTTTCAAGATGTTCTATATTTTCAAATGCAAATTTACTAATAGAAATATTGTCAGCTTTGGTGGAAAAACTATAAAGTTATCACATACCAAGAAGGCTTTACTCTCCTTGTGACATGTACTTTACCTTGTATCACATTCAACACTTCATTAGATGATCGCTTTCCCATAATAATCAGGAAAAGCGGAAACTGATCTGTTTTTTGAGTTCGAATGGTTTGTGCCACAACACTGCCAAAGTGTCTATTGCACATAGTCAGAAATCTAAAAGGAGACAAAATACAAAGTAAGTTTTGCTTTGTAGTTTAATAGATTTACTAGTACTTCAACAAAGAACTCATTGTGTTGTTAGTTATGTTAAATTAGACAGCCTACCTGATATCAGTATGTAAAATCTTGCTATATTGAGTTTTCAAACATATCTGACATGATACAGAAGTGATTATCACATAGAAAAGCAGGAAGCATACCCTAAATGCTGTCTGGGGCTGACAGCATAGGATTCTTCGTCTTTTTTTTTTTTTTTGAGACAGAGTCTCTCTCTGTCGCCCAGGCTGGAGTGCAGTGTTGTGAACTCAGCTCACTGAAACCCCTGCCTCCTAGGTTCAAGCATTTTCTGCCTCAGCCTCCTGAGTAGCTGTGATTACAAGCTCCCACCACCACACCTGGCTAATTTTTTTTTATTTTTAGTAGAGACGGGGTTTCACCATCTTGGCCAGGATGGTCTTGAACTCCTGACCTCATGATCCACCTGCCTTGGTCTCCCAAAGTACTAGGATTACAGGTGTGAGCCACCGCGCCCGGCAGGATTCTTAGTCTTAAACACTACAACACTACCCTTAAACTATGAGAAAAACAAACTAAATTAATTTCAAGAGGATAAAATTTGTTAAATAGAATAATACAGTGTTGTACAAAGACAGACAGACTAGCATCATCCTAAAAAACAGATTTTAGCAACATTTTCATAAGTCTTTAGAATCAAGAACTGTACTTTACAATTATGTTTTCTCCAGTAGTAGCAGGTCGTCTAGTTTCATACTCAGCATGAGATAAAAATAATAATTCTAAGCTTTTGACCAAAAAAAGCTCTAAGATATTAGCATACTGAAGTCTAGCATTAGTATTCTTAACACGATCTGGAATAAATGAAAAAACTGATAAAGCTTTTCTCTTCTATTAGAGGACTGTTTGAAATTAGCATTTCTTTCAAGAGAAAAGGGTAGCTTATGATATGTTTTCAGATCTGATGGTAAAAAGTAAATGTCATAATAATAATGAATTATGAAAGACCAAATGCAAATATAGAATGCTTTAATAAGATCCAATTTAATAAAGTCTGTAAAAATAATGGACTTTTAATAACACAGGTCACAAAAGGCAAAACAGTGGAAATTCTGGGGACTAGCCACTGGTACTGGCTTATTAATTCTTAATTATGTTCATGAAAGGCAACTTAAATCGTGTGTTTTCTCATGCCTTATGATAATATTTTAGGTAACAACTCCTCTGAAATGTATGTTCTAGCTGATGAGCAAAGTCCTGTCATCACATGCATTAGAAGGTAAATCTATTTGAAAAGACAAACGGCATCAAAATGTCATGCGTTCAGACTCATTTGATATCCAAATTCAAAACAGAATCAAACCTCTTAATTTTTAAAGCCAATACATTTTCTCTCTACAGAAATTCATCTCAGAAATTTAGACTGAATCTTCCATAAAAATCTGTGCTTTGACTATAGAAAGTAGGTGCTGTTAAGGGCAACTAGAACTGTGGGCAAGAGTGTTAAGTTAGCACCATTGCAATAAGTTCATTGGAAGGCAGGTTTAAATACACACTTAGAAGAGCAATAACCAGACCTCATGGCAATTTCAGTGCCACCATGAAAATTCAAATTCTCACATTCCACAACTATGATGGGATAAAAGGTGCTCAAGCAGCCTAACCTTCTATGCCAAATTTCACACCCATATAGCTTAACTCATCGATGGGGATGTACAGATCATGAGACTAGAAAATTAGGATATTGTTTGCTTTTTTTCTAAAATATTTTAAGTCAGTTTTGACTCTGACCTGATCATTGGCAACCTCTAAAATAAAAGATGTCAAAAAAAAAAAAAATAGTTGGAACATCATTTCCCACAAAAGGGAGTAAGTCCTTGTTGCTTTCACATTGATTGGATTAATTAAGCAGATATAACAAATTACCTGTCCATAAGTGCTATTAAGTACTAGCTAAACAGGATACCTACCAAAAAGAAAAAAAAAAAAAAAAAAAAGAAAGAAAGAAAGAAAGGAATGGGGGAGAGAGAGAGAGAGAAATAAAAGGGAAAAGCAGGCAAGTTTAGTGATTTTAAGAATTCCATCTCAAGATAATTTTGCCTGGAAATTGCGTACTTCCCATATTCTTTTTGTGGAAATGAGCCAGAAGATAAAATAATTATGAAAATACAGTTATCTTATTGGGTATAAAATATTATATAACAAAACTTTCACCACTATACAAAGCACATTTGAGGTGCAGATCTCAACGCACACAGCCATTCAATAAATTATAAAAAAAAACAACAAAGTGATCAATTTTCTACAAGTTATTGGAAAATCACTCTAATTTTTTGGAAGTAGTTGGGAGATACACAGGGATCACACAGCCAGCTGACACTTTATGGTAGCCTTAACCAACAATTTATTCTAATCAAAGAGAGACTTAAAGTTTTAATTAATCTGATCAATCTTCCCAAAATATGAATTATGTTTGAGATTTTCAAATTGCAATCATCAAGAGCCTGTGGGGCTAATGGACAGTATGAAATTGTAAGAATTCCTACTTGTCAGTTCATTCCGTTATAATTAACAAGAAGGTGGTACTTCACAGCACAGATGTCAAATCTTTTTCATGGCTAGGAGACTCTGCTTCTTCCTGCCAAGATCATTCATGCACAGGGCTACCATTCATAACACACTACCAGCAGCAAAAAATTCAGTTCACAACATTAGAAGGAAAATGGACAGGGGAAAAACCAGTCATTTTAAGAGAAAATGTGTGGTTCTCATAATTGTGGTATTTTCTTCCTTTTGAAGAGATAAAAGTGTACCAGTGCATCCAGTGGCAGGGCCAAAGCTGTCAACCAACTGCACATGGCATTCATCAGAGTTAGAAGTCATGAAGGGATAAATGGTTTCCACAAGTAAATTCCTGCAATCTCAAACCCAAAGTGGGGAAGCAAGGGCAAACCATTCTATAACAAAGGGAAATGGCTCTGTTTTTAAATAATAAAATTTCTGAATAAATCAAACAGCCTACCCATCATATAACATTTGGGGACAGGACTAACAAGTTGCCAAATCAACCCAAGGCCAAATGCTAAAATTACAAATTTGAAAAGACAACGAATAAAGGAATGATACAAGGGAAGAAGGGAGAGAAGGAAGAAGGAACGGTTGAAGCAATGAGTGAAATGAAATAGTTAATCATAAGTCAGATATACTTATATATTTTCCAGTTCTTGCTATTAGAAAACTGGTAAGATAAGACGAAATGGTTTTAATTTAAAGTTTGGAGAGAAATATAAACAGAATATCTGATGGTTAGCATATATTAATCACTTGTAAAATTTTTCATTGCTGAAGCATAGATATTTCTATCTTGTTAATGGAAACCAGGATTACTAATAAATCAGATATGGCAAAAAGTAATCTTGTTTAAATTCAAAACAGGATATTGTTTAATTTCTTTCAACTTAAGTCATAATTACCTAAGTCACTGACTTTTACCAAGCTGTACTGTAACATAAAATAAATGTTAAATGGAACCTAGCAATTCAGGGGAAGGGAGGTGAAATTCCACAAATGCTCACTGCCTACCTACCATATACCAGGTGCTGTAAAAGGAAGAATATTTGATAAAAATTAGAAGGCACAAAACTGTCAACTACTCTATTTAAGGGTTCCTGATTACTACATTTCAGTGTGATTCCCATGAGTTTAAAGGAGCCTCAGGTATAAAGTGGGAATAACACTTACCTTTAAAACACTTGTCTTCTTGTAAGGACAAAATAAGATACAGAAAACACTTGGACTTGTGCCTAAAATATGGTAGGCCCTTAAAATTGGTCGCTATTTTACTATTATTAAATGCATAATAATATTTAACACTTTTATCATCATTTCTTTTAGGATTAAAAATGATGGTTTATACCTACAGGCCAGCACTAAGAGACTTTATTTTGCACAGGAAGATATGGTAGCAAAGATTTGTTGACTAAACAAACACTGTCACTGTTTTTTTTCATTCAGAAAATGAATGGGCAGGTATCAATATTTAGAAAATAAGACATTATAGATGCTACATTTGTGCAATACCACAAAATTTTAAACATTTACAACTGGATACAAAACTAAAATCACTATTTCCTTTTAAATACATTTATATTTAATCATAACATGGCAAAAGGTCAAGGGGGAAGTGGACCCATGTGGAAAGGACATCCTCCTTTTATAACAACTTGCTCTCCTGGGAAGAAACCCATTCCTGGGATTACTAAACTAGCTTAATGAGAACAAGAGGGAGAACCCACTACCATGAGAACAGCCAAGGACATGGTGGGTCCATGACCCAGACATCTCCCATTAGGCTCCATCTCTTAAAGGTTGCACCTCCCAACATTTCCACACTAGGAATTAAGGTTCCCATATGAGTTGTGGTGGGGACACTCAAACCATTGCATAATCCTAAATCTTTGGTTTAAACTAAACTAAGTTAGGAAAACAGAGTGTATGACTAAGCTAGGGGAAACTAAAGGTGACGGTCGTGATCCTCAACCTTTAGTGGCCTATAAATCACCTAGGGAATTTACTTAAAAGGCAAGTTCCTCAGCCCCATTCCCCCAGAGAAGGTGATTCAACAGATTTGGGGTAAGGTTCAGGAAACAAAATAGGTCTCCAACCCCACCCCAGGTAATTCTGATACAAGTGATTAATGGCCACACTTTGAGACACATTGCTTTCTGGACACAGGACTTTCTTTGTAAGACTTTAATCTGTCTCTGAAGGCAGTTCTTAAAAGAAGTCATCATAAAAATGTTTTGGGTAATGATAGCTTCACTGGACCAAGGGTCTAGTCTCCTGAGGCAACCACTTTAAAAATATTCATTCCCACTCGCTTCATTTGTATGGGTAAACTCCAATCTGATCTGAAAAAATACTAATAAATACCTCAACAGTCTGTGAGCTCCATGTGATGGAGGGAAAACAAAGCAGGG